CCAGGCTGCCCTAGGCCTTAGGACTCCTGGTGGCTCTCGTTCTGGGGCTTCTCTACCACCTTGGACCCTTGGAGCTCCAGAGGACCTTGATGGAGGGACTGCGTGGGTGCTGGGGTTTCCCAGGTGGCTGGCTCCCAGGGCTTAACGGCTTTTCTTCCCTCCCTGCTCTCTGAGAGCAGCTGGCTTAGGGACACAGGGGGCAGCTGAGGGGTCACACTGACCTGGGTCCTCCTCAGCACACAGGTGGCCCCCAGCACCAGCAGGATGAGGAGGAAGCCGAGAGCCAGGGCCACAGAGACGGCGACGTGCGTCAGCTGAGCCCCCTGGCATGTGGTCGCTGCTTGGGACTGTGCATCTGGGAAGAAGGAACCAACAACTTGGCAGGTGGGGGAGTCCATGAGAGCTTTTGGGGTTCAGGGCAGGGAGGGGCTCTGTAGTGGGGGCAAAATCCAGGAGGCTTCCTGGAGGAGGTAGGCTTAAGCTGGAAGAAACGACTTGAGCAAGTGAACAGGGAAGGTGGCCAGATAGGGGCAGGTAAAGCCTCGTCTGGCCAGCGGGTAAGTGGAGTGGCCCCAGGGGTTGGTATGCTTCCTACCTGTTACCACCACCAAGGTGCCAGAGCCCTGGACCTGCTCCCCCTTCATGGTGGCCTCGCACACGTAGGCACCAGTGTCATTTGGCAGCAGTTGGTGCATGGTGATGGTCAGGTTCCACTCGGACCCCGAGATGACGATGCGGCCATTGAACCGCGGGTCCACAGTGAGGGTGCTCTCATCCCCGTAGTACATCACATTGTCTTCCTTCGGCCGATATTGCTTCAGGAAGACCCCGATCAGGGGCCCGCGGCTGGAACAGGTGATGTTGATGGAGCCCCCCTCTGGGGTGATTGCGTAGGCGGGGGACTGCCACACCTCTGCAGGGAGGAAGGGCCACTGTCACCGCAGGCTTGGCCGGGGGGCAGAGACCCTTCCCTCTGCAGTGGGGGGTGGGGGTGGCAGGAAGAAGGGGCCCTGCTGACATGTGGCCACAGATGGGGCACCTTGAAGCTGTGCAGGGAGCCAGCACCCAGGGCTGTATCGGAGTTCTGAGGGGTCCACGGGGGCCAGGAGGGACCGGGTTGCCTGCGACTTCTCCCCACCCCAGGGGTTGGGGAAGTTGGAACTGTGGCTTCTTCTTCCACAACAGCCGGCCCTTTGCTGAGCAGCTCTGACCCCCCTCACTGGCTGCACACTTTCTCCCTCTCGTAAATGACAGCCCTGGCCCTGGCCAGGTGGCCCAGTTGTTTCAAATATCATCCTGACACCAAGGGTGCGGGTTCTGTCCCTGTTCAAGCCACATACACGAATCAACCAACGAATGTGTAAGTAAGTGAAACGACTAATCTATGTTTCTCTCTCTCTCTCTCAAATCAATCAATAAATTCAAAAAGTATTTAATTAAATGGCAGTTCCCAAGATACCTGGAGAGAGAGAGAAATATCGATGTGAGAGAGAAACATCAATGGGCCACCTCCTGCATGTGCCCTGACCTGGAATCAAACCCGAAACCTTTTGGTGCAGGGGACAAAGCTCCAGCCAACACAGCAACTGGACCAGAACAACATAACCCTTCTTTAACGGGACCCAAACCTCAGCTTCTCAGTCAATTAAATCCTGCAGCTTTTGGGGGGCTCAAGGTTTGTGCCTGCTGAGCCCCCACACCCTGGGTAATGATCTTCCCATCTTGCTGCACAACTTCCCACAGGTTCGTTTTAAAAAGCAAACTAAACGACACAGTCCCTCTGACAAAGGAGAGCTCGCTAACTGTAGAAAGCCCCCAGACACCGAGGTAAAGAGAAGGGAGCTCAGAGCTGTGGTGATTCAGCACCCAGACATCGCCAAGGCCCAGGTGCCATCCAGGTGCTGTCCCGGCTCCGGCTGTTCTGTGGCCGGCTCCCAGGGAAGGTTTGGCTCCATCCCCACCCCCCCTCCTGGGAAGGAGTGCCCCCAGGCAGAAGTGCGGGGCGGCAGGTGGGGTGCTGAGCCTACTGGGGGACGACGTAAGGGATGGTTGGAAGTGCTTACCTCCGGTGGCCAGGGCCCCAGGCAGGGGAGCTGCAGTGAGCACCAGGAGCGTGGGGAGCAGGGGCAGCCCAGGGGCTTTGCTCACTGCCATCCTGTCCACAGCGACCCAGCGGCAGGGGAAAGGCAGGGCCTCTTAACGGGCCAGCGGAGAGTCTCCCAGTCCAAGGCACCCAACTGTGTGCCTGCATCTCAGAGCTGCAGCCCCCAAAACCCCAATGAAATATCACTTCCGGGGTGGGCGGGGAGGATGCAGCAGGAAGCAGGCAGGGAGGGAGAGTGGAGGTCCTGGGGGCCCTCTGGGATGGCTTCCTGGAGGCGGTGCCATGGGTGGCAGACACTGTGGCCTCGTCTGGGAGGGGTGGCCCTCATGCTCCCCCACGGTCCTGCTGGTGTCCTGGTCCCTAGCCACCTTAGGGACCATTCCATTCCATTCAGGGGAATGGAGACAGGAGGGTGGGGGACCAGGGCCAGGAGAAGAGGGGAGGTCCCCTGGGTGGGGTGGGGTCAAGCTGCTACCCTGGTCCTCTGGGCCACCTTCTACTGGGACCTGATTTATGCCCAGAAATCTGGCCAATTACATCAGTCACCCCTGTAGGGTGGGGGCCGGAGGGGATATGGGGGCAGACCCTGCAGTGTAAGGGCCTTGAATTAACTGTCCTTTAGATCTTAGAGAATCCCTTGAAAATACAGATAAGCAACCTGAGACAGGGGCACCCAGCATTTCCTCCCTGGATGTACCACAGGGGGTGGGGGGGAGCAGGCTGACTCTGTGGGCCTCTCCCCCAATAATCTCAATATTAAAATGACCATTGATTTCACCTGAAATGCAGGGACACTTCTGGTCTGCTTCAGGCAAGTGGAATAGATTTCTGTGGCCCCCAGAGCAGGGCAGCCTGGGTGCCCTGCCCACCGTGCTGCTGGCCGGCCCTGTGTTGGCACAAGCCAGGTGCTGTTGTGGCTGAACCTATTTATTTATTTATTTAATATATCTTTATTGATTTCAGAGAGAGGAAAGGAGGGGGAGAGAGAGAGATAGAAACATCAGTGATGAGAGAGTCACTGATCGGCTGCCTCGCCCGCACCCCGGCATGTGCCCCGACTGGGAACCAAACCCCGATCTCCTGGATCCTAGGTCAATGCTCAACCGCTGAGCCACGCCCGGCCGGGCTGAACCTATTTTTTAAAATCTTGAACCCAGGATATATTTTCCATTGCTTTTCAGAGAGAGTCGAAGGTGAGAGAGACACATCGATTGGCTGCCTCCTGCAAGGGCCTGACCCTGGCTGGGGTCGGGCCTGCAGCCGAGGTCCATGCCCTTGACTAGAATCGAACCAGAGACGCTCAGTCCGCCAGCCAACACTCTAACCACTGAGCTGAACCAGCCAGGGCTGAACCAACTTGAACCCCCGAGATTCCAGTGCTGCCAATTCTGGGGCCCTGGAGCCCGTGAAGCCCCCTGGAACAGAGTCCCCCTTCAGGGTCCTCCGTGGCGAGTCGGGACATCCAGCGCCCTGTGTCTCCTTGATGCCTTAGGACGGTTTCCCACCTCCAGACAGGAAGCACCGCCTTTTAGATTGTTACATGCGGACAAAATGTGCATTTCCCTGCTCGTGGGGTGGGTTATAGATCATGTTATTTTATTCATGTGAAAAGTTAACATCAGAGATTTTTTTCAAAAATTTTAGTACAGTACTGAGCTGGCCCAGAACTTGAGATTTTCACATTTTTGGTGGCAGGGAGAGAGACTCTGTAAATGGAGGTGGAGAAGGGCCTGGCCCCTGTCTCTGGCCTGAGTGACCAGGAGGTGGCCAGGACACTGCCAGCTTTCCCAAGGGACTGCACTGTGTGTGGGGCACAGAGCACCCCCTTGGGCTGAATGACCCTCCAGCTGGCCAGGTCTCCTCCCAGCCGACAGGGGCTGGGTCCTGCCCACCTCTGCACCTGGCCTCAGTCCACCAGACAGGGACGGTGGCTCCAGGTAGGCTCTACAGGAGGGTGCCGGGCCCTGTCACCACACTGCAGCAGCTTCAGGGGTGGGGTGACTCCTGGGCCTGGTCCTCGGCTCTGTGCCTACTTCATTTGGGGTGGGAGGGAAAGAGGGGGGCAGTGAGTGATGGGGCTGTGCACGTTCAGGCACACGATGCAGAGACAGGGGACACACGTCCTGGGTTTCAGGGAAGTCCAGCCCCCACCCCTCCTGCTCATGCTGCCCTCCGGGGGGGGGTAGGGACAAAATGAAGGTTTGGAGGGCAGGCTGGGGTCCTCTGGGAGGGCACTGGGCCTCTGGGGCCCTGTACTCCCCCCACTTCCCACCTAGCCCACAGAGCAGGGGTGGGCCTTGTACCTATAGGAGCTGAAAATGCTGGGGTAACTGCGCCTTCTGTACCAGAATACGCCTACCAGCACCAGGAAGATGAGGGCGATGAAGACCATGAGGGTCACGTGAAATCGGCCCTGGGTTGAGTGCAGGTCCTGGAGCTGGCTGGGGTCCTGGGGCAGGCTCGGGTCCTGGGGCAGGCTCGGGTCCTGGGGCAGGCTCGGGTCCTGGGCTGGGCAGCACTGCGCCCCCCGGGTCTCTGTGGCAGCAGGAGCAGGAGGGACATCACCCTTCACTCCCCCACCTTGAGCACACCCGGAGGGGGACAGCACCCGGGGGCGGGGACCCGGGGCTGGAGAGTGTGCAGGGGGTAGTTTGGGGTGCAGAGGAGCCTGCCGGGGGCCGAGGGGACTCCTTACCTGTACCTCCGGTAGGGGTAAAGCTGCTGCCCCAGGGATGTGCTGAGCGCAGCTCTGGGTGCTCTGCCAGGGAGAGGGGCAGGTTAGGGGCTGCCCAGGGCCCGCCTGAGCAGCCCCGCCTCCCTGCCGGCCCGGCATCAGAGGAGACCTGCGTTCAGGGCCCAGCCAGACTGGGGACAGGTCTCAGCCCCTCCCTCAGAACCAGGAGGGGCTGGGGAGATTTCAAGAGCTCTGAGCAAAGGAAGAGGGAGCTGCGAGGTGAAGGGGTTTAGGGAGGGAGGGGTCTGAGCTCTTGGGCAGAGAGGGGAGGGCGTGTGCAGTGCAGGGGTGGCCCCAGGGGGGCTCTGAGGGGGCTTGTGTTCCAGCAGGACACAGAGGGGGGCACAGAAGTCCAGGAGGGGGAAGGGGTTGGGGGATG